TTTTTTTAAGTTCTTTACTACTGTTTCCACCAGCAAAGCTTTAGGTTCCACATAGTTCTTCCTTTGTGTACTCCCAAAATTATCTTCCACATCAATTATTTGGGCTTCTTCTGATGCTGCCTTCATGGAAAAATGCTCTTGTTCCTGCTCCTGCTTTTCTTCTCCCTCTGCTTCTTTTTGTATATTATATTTCCCCCTTATTTCTGCACAGGCTTGCTCACATCCTTTCCTCACCGCCTCCATCATAGCCTTAGCGAACTGTTCCATAATTATTTCTCCGTCTTCCATGCTTTCGCTCATATCCTCCTCTTCTCTCGTCATGCATTCCATTTCTGTTCCTTCCATGTCCCTCTTTATCCAGCCTTTAATTTAATCTCCTTGCAGAGAACAGGACAATACAGTTCAAAGAGACAAGCGTTCTTGCGTATTTTCCCACCAAACTAACTTCCTACAATTAAGTCCCGTATTTCTCTCGGCCACGCTACTCACATAATTAGGCACCTTTATTCGTGGGTTTCTTTCCGCTTTTACTCTTTTCTTCTTCTTCTGTGTTGCTTCGTAGTTGCAATTGTATCTCCAAATAAAGTTAAAAACAGTTCCGGGTGGCCGCAACTAATCCAAACACGGCAGCCATGTTCTTCTCCCTACAATCGCTCCGCTTCGGGGCAACTCCTGGTCACCCCCCCGCTTGCCGACCACGGGAGGGGCCAGGAAACAAAGCCCCCTGCTCCAGCCCTCCCCACAAGAGGGCTGGTCGAGCTCCCCCGCGATTCGGGGGGCTCAAAAGAAAGCGAAAGTGGGACGGGAGGCACGGAGCTTGCCGCGCACCTCCCGTCGTCGCGCCATACCGGAAGTCTCCGCTCTCAATACCCAACACGCTCTGAGATTCTTTTGAGTAGTGAAGGGCGGGGTATGAATCCAATCTCTTCTTCATGGGATAAGAAGATAAGTAGCTAGGTAAGACCATGCGAGAAAAGGAGCTGGTAAAATACCAAGGCAGTCGAATGGGAGGCACCCTTTCGGGGTGTGACTGATGGGTCCCAATGTTCCCTCTAAGCTGTGGAGTCTTGTGAGCAAAGATTCTACTTTATGAGCTACTGGCATTAAAGTCGTGAGCAAGTGATTTGGCCACTGCACAGATTAGTTTCTTCAGGAGCCCTCCTTCCTGAGCTAAGACAAAAATGTGTGAGCTGGAGGCTAAAAAGCTGTGAGCTAGCGCACACTAACTCAGCTTAGAGGGAACACTGGTCCCAACTTTGTTTCTTCCCATAAACACGTCCCGGCAAATAGAAAGTTAGCAAGCCAGGGAGAAACATCTGTCTGTCCAGCCTCTTTTCTTACTGTGTGGGTTTGCTTATTTGGGGGAGCTTTTAACATAGGAGGACTTTCTGAAACACAATCCTCCACCCTGAAGCATTGCAGTTGGTTCCACCACTGAACTTTGGGGGGGTGGGTGGAGGTCAAGGAGAAGGGACAGTGAAAAAAAATGAAGCAAATGTGCATAGTGGGTTAAGGCCTAGGCACTATTGTGCATCATTCCAGTTCTTCCCCGTTTGTGATGTGTTTGAGTCCTGAGTATACCTAGTTCATACTCTGAGCTAGAGACAGGCAGAGGAGAACCTTGTTTCTGTGGCACTGATCTCTCTCTCTCTCACAAACGCATGCATGTGTTTGCAATTAAAACAATGATAACGGATGGGTCTGTTTTGAGAATTCGTCATCTGGCTCACATTTCCGTATCATGAGCAGACGTATTGGTCTCCGACCCCTGATTTGCAGTTGGTAATTTTATAAGCGGGTCTTTCGAGAGTTGCTAACGTCACTAATCTTGTTATTTCCCAGTTCCAAAATAGCTGGTCCTTCTCCACCCCTTTTTGTGGGTCGAATAGAGTTTCCTTCGTTGGCCAGAGTCTGGCAGCAGTTTCCAAATGTAGAACTGTTATTGTAGTACTTCCCAGGTCTCACGTATTTCACAAAATCAAAAAAAAAAAGAAAAGAAAAAAAAGAGTGGATAAACAGGCAACACTAGATGTCCTCTGAAACTGTATTTGTGTTTCCAACATAAAACATCACCTTGGGCACGTTCCCATGGATTACAGTGAATTATGACTTTGGGAGCGTTAATTTGTCTCTCTTCTGCAAATCTTGCATGGCCAACCAGAAATGGCCTCTGGTCTCTGAGAACACAGCCATTGGTTTTGCTTGTTATTTATTTAGAAAATGTTTAGGTCACTTCTCCAGGGAAACCTGCCCAAGGTGACTTACAAAATGGTTTCTGTTTAAACTTTCCCCAAAAACTCTTCTAAAGCATGTGGGGTTTATGTACTTGTGAAACCTTTACCTTTATAGGCCGTTTTATGAGGGTTTTTTTTAGTTGTGTGGAAATTAAGACGCTGAACTGCAGGCTGTGGAAGGTCAGTAGTTCAGCAGTTCGAGACCCGGGTGCTGCATGACGAAGTGAGCTCCCGTCTCTAGTTCCAGCTCCTGCCAAACTGGCAGTTCGAAAGCAAGAAATTGCAAGTAGATAAATACGTACCGCTTTGGTAGGAAGGTAACAGCGTTCCGTGCGCCTTGGTGTTTAGTCATGCCGGCCACATGATCACGGAAACGTCTTCGGACAGCGCTGGCTCTTCGGCTTTGAAACGGAGATGAGCACCGCAACCCTAGATTTGGACTCGACTGACTTTCGAGCAGGGGAACCTTTATCTTTACTTTTTTAGGATCTGGAAGACCCAGGTTCGAATCCCTAATTTGGTGGGTGATCTTGGGCTGGTCCCTCTCTGTCTCTCTCAGCCTAGCCAACCTCACAGGGTTGGTTATTGGTGAGATGGAAAGAAAAAGGGAGAAGCGAAGCATGTGTACTTCCCTGAGCTCTTTGGAAGAAAGGAGGTCTAAAAAGGTGCATGGGATTGTACTGGATGATTGAATTTTTGATGGCTTAAATGAACTTTTCTGATTTTTAGTGTTGAGTCACAGGCTTTGTGGGCACGTACTTTTATGAGCTGCCTTGAGTCCCCTTTCTGAGGAGGGTCAAGGAAGGAGAGAAAGCCTGTTGATAAACATTCGACTGAAAATGCAGGTTTTAAAAACTGGTCCTGTCGACAGCCTGTGCGTTCCCTCCTTCCCGCTGCCTGGCTTGTTGAATAGAGGAAATGAAGAGGTATAATGTGGCTTGCCGAATAGTGTCGAGGACAGTGAGTCATCAGCGTTTCCTTAAATTGCGAGGTGGGCTGAAGGCTTTGCGACTCCTTTTCTCCCTTGCGAAAGGAGGACTTAATTTAAAAACGACAACCAAAGCAAGTCACTTTCCAATAATCTCCGAAGAAATCTGCAGTCTAAGAAATGGAATGTATTAAGTACGGTGCCAGCTCTAGAGCCCCCCCAAACGGGGGGGGGCATGCTACAGTTCCCAGCCTTGGTTTTTCCTCTTCTCCTTTGGCCAAGTTGTCACAGCTGCTTCTTCCATCTCCAGATCTCTTGATCCACATTCTTTGTTGTTGTTTTTTTTGGTGTGTGTGTGTATGTGTGTACCTGGAAGTCATAGTTGACTTTTGGCGACCCCTGGTGGGGCTAGGACATTTCAGAAAAGTGGCTTGCTGTTGCCCTCCTCTGTATCCCGGCCTTGGTATGCCTTGGAGGTCTCCCGTCCAAGTACTTTCCAGGGTCAGCCCTGCTTAGCTTCCGAGATCAGATGAGATAGGGCTTGCCTGGGCTATCCAGGTCAGGGCGATCCACTTTCTTTAATGAACGAAGTTGATTTTCCTTTTCCTTGTAATGTTTCGCGTCTCTCCAAGCATTCCCCCATGTGAACCCTTCTCTTGTTTTAGATCTTAAACACCGCTCGGAAGCACTTTGGTGCTGGGGGGAACCAGCGCATCCGTTTCACGCTGCCGCCTTTGGTCTTTGCAGCCTACCAGCTCGCGTTCCGCTACAAGGAGAACTCCAAAGTGGTGAGTGTGTGGACTGACCTGCCGACTGGGTGTAATTTTCCGCATAGATCCTGAAGAAGAGTGACCGGGGTGGGGGTGGGGGAGGCTAGAAATTGCTGAACAGAAAAAAACCCCGAAGTGTTTCTCTTAGTGGTACTCTGCTTTTTAGCCCAAGCGTTCATGAAACAGGTTATATAAAATGGTTCAAACATTGCAAAAATGTGAAAATTAGCGTTATGCAAGTAAATACGAGTGGTCTCCGTGAACGAAACTGGTCTGGTCATCATGTGTACATAGTAGGGTCTCGTTTTCTGTCTCTGAAAGCCTTAGCAGTTGGAATCTGTAAGGAGGGAAGAAGGCTGTTACCTGCAGCTGCCTGCCTGGGTTGCTGCCTGCATTTGGCTGCTGCCTGCCTGGGCTGGGCATGGACCCAGCATTATCCCAGACGTGATGGAGTGGTACCTGGCTGCCACCTTCCCTCTGCCTGTCAATTTGAAGTTGGAGGGTGGGGTTGCCCTGCATCAGAGCTTGGTCTAACAGAGAAGTTTCTGGTTGCTTCCTGGCCCCTTTCTGATGTTGCATGGCGGGGGAGGCCTGACCTAATTGAAGATCATCAATATGCAGAAACTGGCACAAAAATACACATGTTGCACCAAGTAAGAAAATATTTGCATATTTGTTTGCTTTTCTCTCCCTGTAAATTATTCAGGATAAAAAAAATCCACTGCAGAATGCGTCATTCTTCGGCGGGGTGTTACGGTCTCCCCTGCCTACTCGGTTCGATTCCCCTTCTCTCTCGTGTTTTGACCCCTCTCCTTTCCTCTCAACCTCCTTCCCCCCTTTCTTTTTGTTCAGGATGACAAGTGGGAGAAGAAATGCCAGAAGATCTTCTCCTTCGCGCACCAGACGATCAGCGCTTTGATCAAAGCTGAGCTGGCGGAGCTGCCCCTCCGGCTCTTCCTCCAGGGGGCCCTCGCTGCCGGGGAAATCGGCTTTGAGAACCACGAGACGGTGGCCTATGAGTTCATGTCCCAGGTGGGGGGATCCACAGTGCTTCCCTTCTAAAAAAAACCCCAAGTCAAAATCTACCTTAAAATCTTAGTGCAACAGGTGGGACGTATTTGAATGGGGAATGAGGCGCACTTAAGCCTCTTGGTTCCCGCAGTTGGCTGGAATCGAGGCGCCCTTTTGAACCTGAGGTGCGATCTCTTTGATTTCAGTTTCTTTGGTGTAAATTGGGCCGTGTTTTGGGTTGGATCTGTCTCTCGTGGTTCACCCCCTCGCATTAGTCTTGGATCTGGCAGTGCACAAGGGGAAACCTAAACAGAACTAGCGCAGTTCTGCTTGCGCAGGATCTTTGTGCAACGTCTGGTACTTTCCCTCATATATTGTGGTGGTGGGAAGTGCTGTCAAGTTTCAGCCAACTGACACTGACCACTCATGGGGTTTTCAAGGCAAGAGACGAGCAGAAGTGGTTTGCCTATTGGCTGGTTTTGCATCTGGCATTCGCTCCCCATTTTCCTCAACATTGAGGAAAAGGTGCAGCTCAAAACCACCTTCAAATACCCCGGGCCAATGCCATACTGACTGCAACGTCACCCCTGAACGGCCATACATCTATGCAGAAGATACTGTAAAACCTGATGATCAAAGGAAGTGAAAGCAGCATGCAATGCAGAGGGTACCATAAAACCCGATGATCAAAGAAAGTGAAAGCGGCATGCAATGCAGAGGGTACCATAAAACCTGATGATCAAAGAAAGTGAAAGCGGCATGCAATGCAGAGGGTACCATGAAACCTGATGATCGAAGAAAGTGAAAGTGGCATGCAGTGCAGAGGGTACCATAAAATCCGATGATCGAAGAAAGTGAAAGCAGCATGCTATGAAGAGGGGAATTTCTGTTCCAATGTGGGTTAGCTAAAACGATGGTGGGAAAAGCCAATGCAGAATTGCCCATTATCTGCCTTCACCACATAGCAGCTTCCTTGCTGCTTTCCCATCCTGCTACTTAGCTGTTCCAGAAACTGGTTGCACAAGATCTTAACGCCGGTGGCCTGCAGAAGGTCCCAGGTTCAATCCCCAACGTCTCCAGTGTAAAAGGACCAGGCAGTACGTGATGTGAAAGACCTCTTCCTGGGACACTGTAGAATCACTGCCAGTCTGAGTAGACAGTGCTGACCGAGATGAACCAAAGGTCTGGTTCACTAGAAGGCAGCTTCGTATGTTACCTGTGCACTGCGGTGTATGTGGTGCATTAGTCATGCACGTTCATGTGAAATCCCCACTGTGCTTGGAAGCTCGCTGGTTGACCTTTGGCCAGTCACACTCTCAGCCTAAACCACCTCGCAAGATGGTCATTACGGGGATAAAATAGGGGAAGAGAGCACAATATTGTCCGCTGCTTAGGGTCACAAGTTGGGATTAGCAAATAAATAAATGCGGGTTTATGTATGTGCATGCACACCATCTATTTGCGGAGGAGTTCGCCGTGTTAGTCTGTTGCTGCAAAACAGTAAAAACAGGAAAAAGCACCTTTACGACTAACATTATTGCATGTGACGAAGAGATCTGTGTTTCTCGAAGGCTTATGCTACAACCAAGTTTGTTAGTCTTAAAGGTGCTTTTTAATTTGGTGTAGTGGTTAAGGGTGCGGACTCTAATCCCGGAGAACCGGGTTGGATTCCCCACTCCTCCACTTGCAGCTGCTGGATGACCTTGGGCAAGCCATAGTTCTGGCACAGCTGTTCTTGAAAAAGAGCAGTTTCTGTCAGAGCTCTCTCAGCCCCACCTACCTCACAGGGTTGTGGGGAGGGGAAGGGAAAGGAGATTGTAAGCTGCTCTGAGACGCCGAGTGAAGGGTGGGGTATAAATCCAATCTCCTCTTCTTCTTAAAGTGGCTAGGAGTCTTTTTACCATCTATTTGGTCACTGTCGTAAGTGTGCCTTTCTTTGAAGTTCTGCCAAGAACTTAAAGACTAATTAGCAGTAGCTCATTTTTTTTTTTTGCAGAAGGGAAAGTGGTAATCACAACTTCCTACTTAATGCCCTTTCCTCCCCCACTCCCGTTACCCATCTGAATCGATTAGGCATTCTCTCTGTATGAAGACGAAATCAGCGACTCTAAAGCACAGCTGGCCGCAATCACCTTGATAATTGGGACGTTTGAGCGGATGAAGTGCTTCGGCGAGGAGAACCACGAGCCCCTGAGGACGCAGTGCGCCTTGGCCGCCTCCAAGCTGCTGAAGAAGCCGGATCAGTGCCGGGCCGTCAGCACCTGTGCCCATCTCTTCTGGTCCGGCCGGAACACGGACAAGAACGGAGAAGAGGTGAGAAGTGGCTTGTTCATAGTGACCCTTTTTTTATGGGAGTCTGGCCTGTTCAGATGCCAAAGGGGAACTGCTTGGGTTGTAATCCTCTGCTCAAGGATTTTGGGGATGAGCTTCACTGAATGTCGTCGGATTGACTTCCGAATGAACCTGTGCAGGTTGTAGATCAAGATGGGTGGCTGTGTTAGTCTGTTCGTAGCAGCGGAAAAGAGCGGGAGTCCAGTAGCACCTTAAAAGGTAAAGGTAAAGGTCCCCTTGCTCGAAAGCCAGTCGAATCCGACTCTAGGGTTGCGGTGCTCATCTCCGTTTCAAAGCCAAAGGACCAGCGCTGTCCGAAAACGTTTCCGTGGTCATGTGGCCGGCATGACTAAACACCAAGGTGCACAGAACGTTGTTACCTTCCCACCGAAGTGGTACCTATTTATCTTGGGGGGGATTGGAAGAGGTCCAGAGAAAGGCCCTGAGAAGATCTGGAACATCGTGACGCTATAGACTGTCTCCTAGGAACTGTTCGGAACTGTCCCGCCATCTTGGGTTTTGAAGTCAGTTATCACTGAGCACTTTATGTGATATAGGATGGGTTTTAAAATGTATATAATGTTTTTATAATGCAGATATACTGTTATTTTTGTATTGTTGTTTATATCTTGCCCTGTAAGCCGCCCTGAGCCCTACGGGGGAGGGCGGGGTACAAATTTGAATAATAAATAATAAATTTGCAATTTCTTGCTTTCGAACTGCTAGGTTGGCAGGCGCTGGAACGAGAGATGGGAGCTCACCCCGTCATGCGGCACACTCGGGTCTCGAACTGCTGAACTACCGACCTTCTACAGCCTGCAGTTCAGCGCCTTAACCGCTTGAGCCACCTTAAAGACTAACAAAATTTGTGGCAGGGGAGGAGCTTCCGTGAGTCACTGCTCTCTTCTTCAGGTACAGCTAGAATGGGAGTCCATCTGATTGACTCCCATCCTAGTTGTATCTGAAGAAGTGAGCAGTGACTCACGAAAGCTCACAGTCTGCCTTGAATTTTGTCAGCCTTAAGGTATGGCTGGACGCTTGCTCTTTTCTTCTGTGTAGGTCGGTGACCCCACAGGCTGCATAGCAGGCCGCACAGCTCA